AATTCTACGTGCAATACATGCTGGATCGATAAATGATGCATGATTTCCTGGCCAATTGCGAATATCGCCGCTTCGCATCTATGTGCCAGCATTAGCTTGTGCGCCATATCTTGTACCTTCCGTTCATCTGTGCTACCTTAGACTTGTTGCCACGTGATGAATTCTCGATTCGTATCCTCGAGCCCTGTGCCTCTTACCTGAGTCCATCCTTTCCAGGAGGGCCTGTGGAAATACCATGGGTGGATAAATATGATCTTTATCACATGGCAATGTCAGCAAGCGCATAACAATGAACGGAATTAACAACACACAATGAAAGTTCCGAATTATGTCTCCTCCTCTTTCGTCGATGGGACCAGTTCTTGTGCCGTTGCTTCGTTTCTTCCCGCTCACGATGTTCTCCTGGCTGTGGCGGCGGCGCTCGAGACTTCGACAGGTCCATTCAAGATTCTTCTCGCCTGCAGATGATCGGCATCATCATTGTGCTGCTTAACTACAGTAGCCAGCGAAAAGGGCTTCATCCCTTTCACAACTCTCTGGTGTCTTTCCGCACGGACATGTAACCTCCTTGGCGCTTACACAAGATGAAATGTTATTTTATCAATTGAAGTACATTCAACAGCCCAAATAGGCTAGACCGATGTGCAGTTCCTTTTGGCTGCTAGTCTCAGAAAATCCACTTGTGCAAAGGATCCGCTGCAATACACGTAATGCAGGGGATCACGATTTACAGATCCTAGTCGGTCTGGGGGCGAAGCACAACATCCATATCTTTTACAGCAAGCTGTAATGAGGCGATTTTGTCAGATAAATTTGTAAATCGCTCGTTCTGTGACCCTAGTACGGATAAAAGGCCGTTCTGTGCCTGTTGATGGTATGAGATAGCTTTGCTATTCTCGCCAAGCTCCTCAAACATAGAGCCAAGGTCTTGAAGTGTGTTCAAGGCGGGAATATACGTCTTTATGGCGTCTGGTCCTAATATCTTTTCGTAGCCTTGAAGAGCTCGGTCGGAGTAGAGGTTGCCTAGATTGCCGACCGTCGCGAGTGTTGATGTGTGGCCAGGCCCAAGTGCCTTCTCCTTGCCTTGAAGAGCCCGTTCGTACATGGCCTCGGCCTCTTTCAGTCGGCCCTGGCCCGAGTAGAGAAGGCCTAGGCAATGAACTAAGTCGAGTGTTGACGTGTGGTCTGGTCCTAATGCCTTCTCGTAGCCTTGAAGAGCCCGGTCGTACATCGCCTCGGCCTCTTTAAGTCGGCCCTGGTCCGAGAAGAGGTTGCGTAGTGCATGGAACACCCACGCATTATCTTTCAACTCGATAATGGTCTCTAACATCTTGACGCATCGGTCGACATGTTGTAAGAGGCGTCGTTGGACTATCCAGTATTTGCCTTTTTCTTGGCTAGAGACGTGGGAGGCTACACATCGTACCGCGATTCCGGCGAGCGCTTGGCTACACTAGTTTCTGTATTGAGCACGTGGATCGTCCAATGCATGAACACACCCATGCATGCTGTACCCTGTCGATTCGGACCCCAACTCCTGGCTGTCGGTATTTCGCTCCGCTAGTCCGTGTTCACATAGAACGCTCATTACTGCGTCAAAACCACGCTTGTTCTACGTCGTCTTGTGGGGGCAGGGCAGCTCTTCCGCTTCCCCTGCCCGCATACGTTCGTAGCATAAATCTTGGTTATCAAAATATGCGAGATATTCCACGTAGAGTATAACGCCTGATCGTACTCCATCAACTCTGGACTTTCCTGCTGTAATCGCAACCATGCCTTTTCATACATCTCAAGATCTTCCTTGCAGCTAGTTGCTACTTGGTCTAGGTAGGCCCCAGCTGTTGCGAGTGCGAGTGGAAGCCCATCAAGCCGTCGCGCAAGCGTGATGGCATCGGGATCTGTTTGACCACTTAGTCGCATGTAAACTGTCATCTAAGCCGCTTGCCTTCAACAAGATTGTCACGTTCAGATGTTGATGTAAGTATCGCTAAGCTATCGTTGACATCCCTCAGCTTGCCTAGCGGAATATGTTTGCCGAGTTTCACCGTTGCAGTTCGGGTGGTGGTGATGACGGCACCATGGTCGGTCTCAGGGAGGTAAGATCGAATATCGTACGCCTTTGAGACGGCTGAGCCGGAGAGCGTCTTGCCTGGATCAGACCCGCCATCTGCTGTTCCTGGTCTCGCACTGCTTGCGATTCCGTGACGACGATCAGACCTAACGTCATCATAATTGTCATAGACGACAAGCCAACGGTCGTTCTTGGGTTCGTTCAACCACAATTTGACTGCCTCTAATGTCTCATCAAGGTCCTTATTTGCCATGGCGCTTTTGATATACACTACGGACTGATGTTGGCGTAAAATTCGCTGAGCCGCTCGGTAGAAACTCTGCTTCAGCGACGTCTCGTCTTTCGCGTTGATCCAAATTGCAGCTGAGTAGTCGGTGCGATGCTGCTTGGTGTAGGCTATAGCTAACTGGGTCTTTCCCACACCACCCGGGCCATGTAGGACGGCGGTGCGACGTTCGCCAGTCCACTCTAATGCCTCATGCAAGCATCTGAGTTCAACGCCTCTGGCCACGAAGCGATTCACGCCGCTGACTTCCGATATGCTAGGGGCAAGTGCAAATGAGGTAGCAGCTGGGTCATTTGCACTGCCATCTTATAATATAACTTTATTAGCATACGATTGCTAGTACTCAGACCCTCAACTTTAGAGCCTCCGATGACTAGCTATTTGATTTCCAGCTACTTGCTCCGCAATGCATCTAGGCGCGCCCGTAGTTCGCTGTCGGCGTTGGATTCAGAGGGAACAGGTGTGGAAATGGCCGTCAACTCACTCTGCTTCAGTGCTTTCTTGTACATGTCCCTGATGTTGCTTCGTACTCGCTTTAGGTTGTCTTGGTCTGATTCAGCTCCACCAAACTCACACACCATGCTGTGGTTGGCATCCAGTTTGACGACATTCTCGTGATCGCCTGGCATGTTTAGCTGAGCGCTCTCCCTTGGGACAACCTGAAAAGAGGCGTAAGCAATAGCTCAATACGAGAAGAGAAGCGCTTACGTTATCAAAGCCTCCCCAGAAGGATGCGATGTCGTACTGCAAGAGCTGATGCCTCCAGTGCTCGTTCATAATATCTGAGAAAATGCTCCCCTGCTTCAATGTCTCCAAAACATCATCGCCTTTCTGGAAGCCTGTCGCCGTAGCGATGTTGGCAGCCAGACTTCCAAGACTCACCAGCTTCCAGTCGCCGTGATGGGGTGTTGCGAAGAATGCCAACCCCCTGGTGGCGTTTTTAATAGGTGTGTATTTGGGGTTGTTGTGTGCGTTGATGAGTGCCTGCTTGATCAACAGCCCGCCCATGCTATGTCCCAAAAAGAGTATCGGTCGAGATTCAACATCTTCCCGCTCCAGCCGGAGGTCGTTGGCTTTGTCGATGAAGGTGCTTCGATCCTTCCCGTACACGGCGGTGGCATTGTACTGGTAGATAAAGATCCTCGAATCGGGAACGTACTTGGGAAGGTCGTCACGGAGCCAGAGGCGTCCTGTAGGCCCTGACGGGGTTCGCCAAGTGTCCCACGCGTGATCGGCATCGTTCTTAGATCGGGGGTTCAGGCCGTGCACGGCGATGATGCTGCGCTGATTAGCCACGTCGAGACAAAAGGGTATTCAACGTACTCGATCTTTACCGCATCCTCATCAGCGTTCTGTTAGGTGAAAGTTGGCGAAGTGGCTGCAATAGGAGGTTACTAAATATTCTGATTACGGATCGTTTTTCTTACCATCTTATTCGTCGCGTTGGTGCGTTACCTTGTCTCGTTATCTCGTGTTGACCAGAACCTTTGCTGTTGACTTTGAGATTGGGCAAGTTGAAGCAGAGGTCAATCCTCAGACTCTTATCGAGGCGGGTCAAATGACCCCACCTGTGCAGTTGTGCCTCTAGCATTGCCCAGTCAACATCAAGCTCATCAAACCGCTTGACTAGGTCGCGCTGTGAGCGGTCAGTGACAAAGGTCTTGGTCGATGGCAGCTTTCTGTCGGGAACGCCCCTCAGCTTGGCTTTCAAGCGCGTCTTTCAGAAAACATCGGGCGGGACAACGATTGTTTGTTCGGAGTCTTTGGTGACCATTCGATTGTTGGCAGTCAGTTTCCACTCCACTGAGTAAGGCACATGAGCGGGCTGTGGATCATTGTATTCTGGGTCGGGAGGCTCCGATAGCCGACTCATCCACATATCCTGGTTGGCAGCCGACCTGCTTTGCGGGGAAGAATCGCCATTGTCCGACTCATCGGTTTCATTCAGGTCAAACACAGAGGGGCTTCGAGTGTTCCGGTCGAAGAGATGGTTTCAAGACATTTTGGTAAAGTACGTTGGATGGACGTGTGCATAGAAAAGGAATAAGAAAAGTCCATGGTTGCGGTGGATCGCACATGATCATACGCAGGGGACTGGCCTGGTCATTGTCTACACTACAACTTCTATGTATGGAACTGATTTTGGCGGAGATGTTTCTGTCCTGGGTCCTGAATGTGCTTCAACTTGGATGAAGGGCGTCGGCTTAGCAGGATCCACAAGACAAATGTCCGTTCCCCACTTTGTTGGTCATCTTGGCCATGGCCAAGTAATCCAAAAAGGGCGGATCGGCAAAATTAGACTCACTCTTTGATGACATCAAAGCCAGTTTAAACTCTTGTCATACACGGACCCTGGAAGAAGATCTGGATGTTGCTGACTTCCAGGATCCAGTTATCCAGAGAGAGCCACGACTGGCGCAAGCTTTCGGGAGTCAGCTGGATTTCAGGTGAGCCATTTGCCGGGTCACATGACATGCAGCAGTCTGTCACTTTGCAGAGTGAATCGACCGTTCGGGGGTTCTACTGTGCTAGGCTGACCAGCCCTGTTGTACTTTCTAAATGTTATCCATTTCGAATTTTTATCACAGGCTCGTAGTGAAATTTCTCAAAGCGTGTCGGGCGAATAGATGACATGATCTCAAGCGAAAGATGATTGCACCTATGTGCAAGACCGAACGGGGAAAAGACCAATAGCACCGCGTGAACATAAGCAGGTTACAAGCACTTGAAGCAGCATAAGCTAACATTTGGCAGGGGAAAATGCTGTGCATAATCCGTTTTCCAAAGACTTGGATCAAGTGGGGTGAAAGCTGTCAGCAGGGCCTCCATGGTGGGCCGGTACATCAGTGTGAAATCAGACTGTGTTGGTCAGAGCCAACGTGCGAGCCGTGCCAACTAACCTGAATCGCTTGAGAGCGAAATTGATGACGTCACTGCCATATTGCACGAATTGACGGAGTAAGTCATGGTAATGATCGAGCGGCCCAGGTGCCAAGAGTACCTCACATGCATAGTGCCAGTAACCCTTCCCCCGAAGGTCGCTGTCCACGCTGAGCACTGACCACCGTATACCCTAGAGTAGGTTCCGACAACGGAGCTAGGGAAAAGCGCCAAGATCGCACTTCGTCGGCCAAAACTTTTCTAGCAATCGAAACCGTGTCCGATTCATACCAGCAGCTGTTTGTAGCCGGAAGCATCTCCACAGCCAAAAATCAGCAGACTTCTGTGGCTAAGTTTGGGGCCAGTATCTTCGTCACCGGCGTGAGTCCTCGAGGTAATGCCCTATCGCGGCAGATGTTGCTTTCAAGACGGCGTTGCCACCAGCATGGTGATGACATCCTCCTTTGAACCTGTCGCCGTATTACTGTAGTGTCCCCTCTGCACCGACCGCGGTCTGGGCGCACAGGCCAGGGGCACCCCAAGAGACCTTGATGTACAAGCATAAGCCAAAATTGTCCGTAACTTCGTGTGAAATCTAGATGGTAATGCGACACGGTACTGTATATCGACAAAAGTCTCGCTGAGAAGTGCATTTAGTGGAGACCTGATGGGGCATCTCACTGTGCGACTGACGATAAGTTAGGAGATCCATTTTGGACATTTGGTTCACGACGGAGACGCCTTGGTTCTCATCTGCTCCTGGCATAAGCTATTTCTGGAGTAATCAACTCGGATCGCACTGTCAAAACGAGTCCGTGAGCGCAGAGAACCAAAAGAGTTTAATTCAACAAGATATGCTTTTTGCACGCGGCTGTACCGGAGACGTGTTCTAGCCCTTCTTGACCGGGCCCAGCTCTCCATGACATCGTTGAAAATGGCTTCAAACTCGGTTGTCACGCGGGGAATGCTGCAAACGCGTGAACAGGCTCTGCATGGCCCTTGGGACAGAGTGCATCAAATACTTATGAGCGGGCTCAGTCGACATAACTCATCTTCTAATGACAATCACACAGCAATTCCACACATAGTCCGTTTCATGTTTGAAACGTAGTCCAAGACAATGGAAGAACCACAGGCTCATCGAGGAATTTGCTCCACCGAAACGGAAATTTTCTTCAAAACCTTGCAACATGAAGTGAACCTGGAGGATCGTCCCGACGCTCGTTCTCAAGTTGCACTCACTGCCCACAAAAAGCGATGTATAAGACAGGTTCTGGAACATCGGGGCTTTCATGCTGCCTTTCATAGATTGTCGCGCATCCCAGGAATGTGGCCCGGACTTGTGGTTGGAACCCTTCACAAACTCATCAGCCTGAGATGCGACGAGGTTTGCATCGAGCCCTCCTGCTTCTCTTGAAGAGATACACTTACCATGTATGCAGGAATTACTGAGTTACCTCCACTTCATCTATGATACTTGGTTGCAACTTGTCGGAGGCAATGAAAGTGAATTGGAGAAGATCGACTGGATTACCGTCGAAGCTGTTCAGCTTAGGTGTCCGAAATATTCTGCGTCAGATGAGCGAGCGCTCCGTGGCATCATTCTCAGAGGCGACATCTTTGGTAATTTCGGGCGTGCCGAGCGGCTAGCAGCATTTGCGAAGGTGTGCTCGTTCGATTTCCCGATTCCATCTCTGTCAACTTTTTTCAAAGATTTCGGATATCTCGAACGGTGCGGCAATAGTATGAAGCATCTAGTCCCTATGAAGAGAAGGGGCCCGACCGTTCGGAGGATGCTCCTTCAGAGCTTCAACCCACCGGCCTTGCCAGCACAGTCAGAAAGCCCGCTCATGGATGAATTCGATAATCTTGAGGCGCAGTTTCAACTTGCCATGAGGCGACTTTGGCTGTTCGCGATGAGGGAATTCCACTCCATTCGCACTGACCCTAGCCTTTTGCCAAGATTTGCAAGTCTAGCTGTTGAACTGGGCTTTGACAATGATGAAATTCGTTCTCTCAAAGAGCTTTCTCCTCATCGGGAGATAGCAAGGCAGGCAATGGCACTAGTCCGGTCTTCGCAGGATCAGGATTACAACTCCGTTGCAGACGAGGCTATCATTGGTCAAATTGCTCAAGCATTTTCCGGACACCAACATGGGCCAAAAAGACAAACCTACAGTGCTTTTACCACCAATGCAACCACAGCGAAGATGGACGTGCGCCCATGGCTTGATTCCAAAGCGTATTTGATGGACCGCCCGAATCTTGTCGTTGAGATCCTCGACCAACAGCCACTCGTTAAAAAAAAGGAAGTCACGAGTTTATTTCTTCTACGGTCGATCTACAAAGCCATTTTCCACGAAGACTTCCATGAAGGTACACAGGCTAACAAGGGCATAACCTATCTTGAAGGTGGAAGCAGTGGAAGAGTAGAGCCAAGCCACAATCAAGATCATCAATATGTCCGGAATCACCGGACAAAAGAGTTACAGGACCATGCGGCCACACGGCAGGCAGATGCAGCAGTCAATCTCGATTCCACGGAGATAAGAACGCGACGGGTTAGACTGCAGATCACTCAAGCGGGAACTTTTCGCGACGAGCGCTATGTAGATATACATCTTGACGATGAAAATGGGCCGAATCGAATCGGAAGCATCATTCAACAGTTAATGGTAGAGTACCGGGTACTACCTTTCTCCCCGATAGGCTCCCCGCTGTTGTCGGAAGAATGCTATGGAGAAATTGTGCAAAAAGGCCACGACTGCCTGTACCTGACAGATGACAGGCGGGGAAAAATTCTGGTTCAGGAATCTTGATGCACAAATTGACATAATTGAGCTTATGCCAACCATAATCCAGCATCCGAGCTTGTCCGTGAAGGTCCTAAGAAATCTCGACCATCTCTCACCGTTGTCCTCGTGCCGTCCCATGCGCGTCCTCGTGCCGTCCGACCTTGTCCTCAGGCCGTCCAGCCTCAGTGACGTCCTCGGCGCGTCCTTGTGCCGTCCCATGCGCGTCCTCGTGCCGACCGACCTTGTCCTCAGGCCGTCCAGCCTCAGTGACGTCCTCGGCGCGTCCTTGTGCCTTCCCATGCGCGTCCTCGTGCCGACCGACCTTGTCCTCAGGCCGTCCAGCCTCCGCATCGTTTCCCAGTGACGTCCCAGGCGCGTCCTCGTGCCGTCCAAACCTGTCCACCGTAAACGTCCTCAGGACGTCCGAGTGACGTCCCAGGCGCGTCCTTGTGCCGTCCGAGCCTGTCCACCATCCTCCAGTGACGTCCCAGTGACGTCCCATGCGCGTCCTCGTGCCGTCCAACCTTGTCCTCAGGCCGTCCAGCCTCTGCATCGTTATCCAGTGACATCCCATGCGCAAAATAGTTACTGTGGGTTCTACTTCAAAGAATCCATCTTCGGCTCTGAATAGCAGGCTCCAATCCATCTAAGTACGTGGTGGTCTGTATACAGTATGAAGAGATAAAAAACGTTACATCTACTGTACAAGAGAGCAATTCAAACGCATCATGCGGTTGAGGTCGACATGGACATGAATGTTTGTCCGCGTACATACATACATAGTTTACTACGCCTTGGCTAAGCTATTTAGGGCTCGTACGGTTACCTATATATTCTCCACCTTCGTTCATATCCTTGCCTCCCAGAAGCCCATACAAGTCTCGTCCATCTCCGTATGTGTCTTCTTCAGTTTTCCATGCCGATGCTGCGATTGCTTGGGGGGGGGGGGAGTAGCGGGCTATCTTGAGGTCATTTCCCAAAATGATGTTCGGCGTCCTATCGTCGGCGGCCGAAGCTAGTCCTGCTGTCGATGGCATGAGGGTTCGTGGGGCATCTCCGGTTAATGTGATGATGTGAGCTGTGTGTGGTTTTGCCGCTGGCTGATCTGTGCATCCAGTCTCTCCGTGCTCTTGGCGAAGTTGATCGTTTCTTTGACAACATTTACGCTTGGCAACCAATCCTGAGGGTCGGACGCACTCTTTCCTCCGAGAGAGTGTCTGCTGTGCCATCCACTGTGTGCAACGAAAGAGGAACTGCTCTCCCGTTTCTGCCGCTTGTCCACAGGCACACTGCGCCAAGGCAGTTGCACCGATCTGGTGCAGATACCAATTCAGTCGTGCCATTCCGGTGCGTAGTTGCGCTAAGATGCTGGCTTCTTTCCATGACAGTCCGTCATATAGCTTACGTGTGTGGTGTCCCGGAAGAGTTATGTCGATCTTCTTCGAATATGCTCCTACGTTATCGGGCAAAGCTCCGTACGTCTGAGCGCTGTCGAGTAGGCTCTGGCCGGTCGCTTCTGCGGTGTCTTGTCCGCTTGGGTACATTCCTTTGCTGCTGCTTTGGCTGCTTGCGACAGGTCTGACTCTATCGCTGATGGAAGCCAGAAGATAGTGACTCTGTTGCCTCGTCTCTGCAGAGTTTGCACGTTGGCATAGAGTTGTCGAATCTCTCGTTGGCCTGACTGCTGCCGCGGGTTGCGCATCACTGCGACTGTCGCTTTGTTGCGGGTGAACAAATGGATAGCCCGGTAACCGAGTCTCTCTGGGAGCGACTTCACCGCTTCTGCCAGTGCCGCCAGCTCTGTCTGCTACATACGGGTTTTGCTCCGTTCTCTGACCGAATGTGCGCGAGGCCGTCATGATGCCGCCGCCCCCTCTGAGAGATGCGGGCAGCGTCGTCGCTGTTCCAAAGCCCACAACCCCATTCCTTGCCGAGCTCCCCGTCGCAATTCTCACTGCCCATCCGGACCGAATTGCCTCAGAGGCCTTGACCATGTCGTCGTCGACTGCTATATCAATACGGCCTTCCCAAGGAGCAATCGGATACCCTTCAATAGTCTCCAGCTTGTCAAGGGGTTGGCCGCGATAGGCCTCCGCTATTGACTGGAAGGGTGATGGAAACCGTCTAAAGGCCACCGCCCGCAGACGTCGAAGCGGATGGGTCTTAGGAACGTTTCGCATCCGTACCCAGAATGTGGTTGATTTTCTGTCGTATCTCTCTTGGGCCGATTGTATGCTTGCCTCCGCTTCAGCAACCGCCGTGGCCACTGTGTTGAAGGTTCCCACGATCGCTTGGGCGCCGATCCTCTGCACTCGGCTGATCACCCTCATCTGCGCTGCTCGACATCTATATCTCCAAACTTTCGAAGTCAATTGTCGGCGCCACAGCCGCCACGAAAAGCTGTCTAGCCGTTGCTGGAGACAGGCCTTTGAGCCGCCTCAGCCCCAGCATAGCCTTCAACCCCTTTGTCGTTGCGTCTGCGATGTGCTTCTCAAAACGCAGTTTCGTGCCCATCGTCACCCCGAATACTTTGACATGGTCCTTTGGCTGGACAGTGTCCCCTTTAATGACGAAGCTGGACGAGTCTGCGGGCAGTCTCCGGCTGCGCGTGAAGTGGATGATAGCTGTCTTGTCGGGTTCGAACGTCGCCCCGCTTCGTCGTTCCCAGTCGAGGGCTCGATCGATGATGTCCCGGATTCCTTGGCGTTTTGCTTCTCGCGATCGGCCGGTGACCCACGCCGTATAGTCGTCGACGAAGGCGAGCGCGCCCCCGCTCTCGTCGATCTGGTGCTGTACGAGGTAGGCATTGAAGAGGAAGAGTACGGGTGACAGTGGCGAGCCCTGAGGCAGGCCGGCCTGTGGTAGTGAACGAGCCTCAGACTCGTGACCGTTGACCAAGATGCTTGCCGTTCTGTGAGAGCAGAGGGCATCGACTCATCTCACCAGCTTCTCGGGGATACCCCGCGCCCTGAGTCTTTGAAGTAGCCTCTCTTTGTACACACCATTGTATGCTCCCTTGACATCGAAGCTGACCAGACTGGCCACCTTTCTCTTTCTCCACGCCCTGTAGATATACTCCTGCAGCAATACCAACGCCTGCCCTGCCGATCTCTGCTTGCGAGCACCAAGTGGCTCGTGGGCAGGAGGCCGAACGCCTCGACAGCGTACGGGATGCGCTCTGCCAGAACTGACTCCAGCACTTTTCCGGGCGTCGAGAGAAGCGAGATCGGTCGCCAGGCCTTTGCTATACCGTAGTCGCTCCTGTTTGGTTTCTTGAGCGGGATGATCTTTGCGTGCCTCCATTGCCTCGGCAGCACCCCTTCTTTCAATGACGTTTGGAAGAGTGCAAGCACCTTCTCCTTCACCACCGGCCATGTGTGCTTCCACACTGCCATCGGTAGGCCGTCTTCTCCGGGAGCTTTCCACGACTTTGCCGTAAAGAGATATTTCTCGATTTCTCCCAGAATGAGTTTGGGGAAGGGTACCGGTGATCTTTGTGACCGCTCCCCCTCACCCTCGATCGTGCTGGGGAGAGTGGAAAGAGGAGGGAAGAACGAGGAAAGCAGCTTTTCAGCCTATTCTGCGGCGTCTTCCGTTGGGGAGCCATCGGCTCTCTTCAGTTGGGGGATCTGGTCGAAAGATGCCCCTTTGCCAGCGTCGAGGTATTTCGCGGCTTTCCAGGTGTTGGAGTCGGCCAGAATTTCCTCCCAACGGCTTTTCTCCTGGTGTCGGATGGCGTCGTGATATTGCTTGGCTGCCGAGCGTGCGCGTTTTTTAAGCTCGGGTTGAATGTTACCTGCCCTTCACTCCGCCCTCGCTCGGTTTCTCTAGTGAGTGTGGATCTGTAGGAGTTGGGTAAGGTCGGCTGTCCAACATCTCTTTGCATACGGGGATGGTATGGCCTTGGGCGTTAGTGCCCCTATTGCTTCGCATACCATAGACATCAGTCGATCCGTCTGCTGCTGCATCGTACCTCCCGTTGACATTCGCTGTAGGTTTGCTTCTACCTTCTCATTGATCTGCTTCCATGGTGCCTTCTTGAGGAGGAGTCGTGGTCGGCTTTCCATCTCAGGCGCAGCAATATCGAAAACAGTCTCAACGGCGCGGTGATCCGAGCCGTGGTCCGCCTGGTGTATTCCACACCGTACCACCGTCCTGGCTATCTCTTCAGACGCAAGAGATAGGTCGATCGTCGTCTGCGCCTCATTCTTGTGCCATATTTCGTCCCCCTCGGAAGGAGGCTGCTAAGGGAGTACTCGCCAATCAGATCGAAAATGGGGTCAGCCTCGCCTTACCCTCCGACACATCATCGCCTCCCCAAAGATAGTCGTGGCGATTGAAGTTTCCCACCAGCACCGCATCTACCAGATCACCCATTCCACTCGGTACATTCCTCATGGCCTGCCGTAGCAAGGCGCACGCCAATCGAAGCATCTCCGGTTTCTGCGCTGGCACATACACCGACGCTACTATCAGCCTTCGATCCGGAAGCCGGACGACAGCCGCCGTGATGTCCGGACATGCTACAGGCACCTGTTCGGCCTCCACGTCGTTGTTCACCCACAGCAAGCTCCTGATCGCCCATCTCCCTTCTTCTATCCACTCCGTCGGTATCATTCTCGTCCATCTACTGTGACCCATCGGGACTGTTTAGACCTTACCTTCCGTCCTCCACGCCCACGGTTCCTGGACCGCAATGACAGTCTAGTCACGCAACGCCTCGTCGTTCATCAGAGACTCTCGTGGACCGCATCCTGCTTCCTCACATTGAGCTGAAGAATCTGGACCTTCTTACTCATGGGCAGGCGGGTACAGCTTCGGGCAGTTCTTGCTGAACGACTCGTGCGGTCCGCCACAGGGCACACATTTCACCATCGTCTCATGACACTCAGAGTGGTGGTGGCCCACCTTGGCGCAGCGTCTGTACACCTGGGGATTTGCGCACTGGTAAGACTTGTGCCTCGTGATCTGCTGGCAGCTGTAGCACTGCTGGGGGCGTGGCCGCCGTTCAAACGCCATCGTCGTGCCGGACTCCCCTCCAACGTGGAAGGAGCCCTCGGAGATCAGTCTACGCGCATCACTGGCCTTGGTCACAAACACGACCATTGATCCATAGGCCTTTGGCATGTCTTTCTTGCTAAGCCAAGATATCTTGGCAGCCGTGGTGTCGTTTTCTCGGCTACGTGCCTCCACCGCTTCAGCTCTGACATTGCACTTCTCATTAAGCACCTCAGTCCGTTTCACATTGTCCACCTTCACGGGGTAGAGCTCATCTCGCAGCACTCGCGTTCCAGGACCGAAACTCTTCTCCGGGATGTTCTTGACCAACTTGTGTTCAGCTTCGTCGCGGCAAATGATCCTGATCCTATCCGCATTCCTTGAGTCGACAGTGACCGCCCGACACCGCCGGCCAGCTGCCATGTCCGCCCGTCGCGCGCATCTCCTTTTCTACTGCAGCCCAGACCCGACCGGCGTTGGGCTTGTCGCCGCCGTCTTCTACCCTCGACGTGTCGGCCGTACAGAATAACGGTTCGCCACGACCCGGCGGCGGTGTGTAGTCCAGCGTGGCCATCCTCGAGCCGTGAGCTGCCACGCCTAAGCCGGTTCGCGCAACGTCCGCGTATGACACACTTGGGCTGTCCTGCGTCGCCGCAACTGTCGCGAGTGCTTCGAGATTTTTGTTCGTTTTGGCGCTTTCATCCCCCACGTGTTCCTTCATCGCTTACAGCTCCCCTCTGACTGTTTGCAGCTCCGATGTGACCACGCGAAGCTCTGCCTCAACGTTCTTTTCCCACGCTTCCGACTTTTACGCATCGAACATGATCTTGATCGCTGCGAGTAGCTCTTTTATCTGCTTGCCCATCGTCAGGAGCAGCCCTTTATCGTCATCCTCAATGGGCTTCGCGCGTTCCTTGGCCAGTGTTGCGGCTCGAGTAGTCGTCGCCCGCCGGCTATCGCCAGCGGTCTCGGTCGGTCGCTCGATCGCATCTTCGGTTATCTCTTGAAACGTCTGGTTCAGTCGACCTTTGGCGGATGGTTTTCGCAGCCTTCATGATAGCAGGTTCTCGTCGCTTGCTGCTATCATATCCCTCGCAACGGTGATGGACGTCGAGTCTGGTTCGAGTTCTATCGCGTCGTGACGTGCCTAGAGTCGCCACGCGGTGGGTCGTGCTAATGCCACGAAGCGCGTTTCGAAACGTCTCAACGGCGCTCAAATTGACAACGTCGACGAATCCTCCAAACTACAAAATAGCAAATCGCAACGCATGTAGTGTCTCTCTCTCGCTGTTCGAGACCTTCCTTCGCCGATCATACAGTCAGGTTCAGATACCCACTATGTCGCATGACAGTCACGGCAACGACGAACACAAAGGGTGAAGAAACATTGAGGCAAGAGGCCTATCAGAAGGATGCGGTTTCGGGCCAATTCAATAGGTCAAGTGACAAAAGGGGAGAGATCCTTGAGGTTGCAGGGTCAAACGTGCTGGGGTCATTTTGGCGGCGACTTCGCCGTTGAGATTGCGACGATCGCATGGTTCGACCGTCACGCCAGATGACATGGCGGTACAAAAACTTTAGACCTGGTTCAAGTAATGATGGATTCTATAGTTTGTCGATTCTGTATAGTCTTTAATCTGTCATTGAGTAAGAAATGTTACCTGGTTGATCTTGCGATACCCTTGACACCACCCTGGCACGCGATCCCGAGACAATGAAGTCAAATGCCTTTATCGCGTATGATATCGCAGCTCATGGTTCTACAAAAATGATCCGAGGCATAGAAATCTAGACTACGTGGTAATTGGTGCAAGACACAACCTACCCCGCTGTGGTTTCCAGGGCATTCAGTAAGTCAACGCTCCATCACAGATGGCCGAGAATGCGACGGAGCGGGGCTGGCGTCTTGCTGATCGCTTCCGATAGTCGTAGATACGGGCCGGTCGCTGGACTCAACTTAGCTGCCGACTAAGCCGTCCCAGTCGCCGAACAGACCGATCAGCTACGTCCACTCTGGCAAGTTCTATGCTTGACATGCGTTTCATAGAGACGAATTCGAAATCGGTTTTCGACTGGTGGTTTTCGGTCCTCCTGCGGACACATCATGGTGCAAGCAAACAAATTGCTGAGGAGCTGAGGGTAGGACTTTGCAAAGGCCAGAACCAACTCTTACAATAGATAGTCGAATCATGTGTGTGCACACAAAGCGAAAGGCCAGATGCCAGCTACCACACTAGCGGAGGGCGCGCAAATTCAAATATCCCAAAATGGCATTTGCAGGTGGAACAGGGCATAGCAACGTCCAGCCCAGTGCCAGTATTGTGGACGGAGAACCATTATCAAGCAGCTCCAGAATCAACATTTTGGGCCTATTCCGGCAGTCCAGAATAGCGCGGTCAATCGACATTGTCAAAGACAGGATCCTTGGTTGGCTCCAGACTCTGGGGGCTACTCACATCTGACTAACGTTATTCGTAACAGCTAGTAACGGGTGCACGCAGCCACCCTCCCTTCCCCCTCTTCACACAAAGTGACGCGCGAAACTCAACTCATTATCCAGAATGTGCTTGTCTCGAGGTTTATCTTAAAAAGTGTTAACCAGCAATTCGTGGATGCTATAAGCGTGTTTTACATGGATATGCAATATTGAGTAATTGGCCCTAATGAGGGTAATGAGTAGGCGCAGAGATCCAGAATCTGCTTCTACCAAAGTGCACCTTTCTGTCTAACATCTCTGACCATGGCCGAAAAAACAATACTATGGATGCGGGCCAAAGTAAAACCCCCTGCGAAATATCTACGGGGTGCAACGAGGGTGCTCTACAGATTTTCTAAGCAGCGGTACTTCGATCATTGACGCTTGAGCTCAGCCATTCGTGTGTTGCAGCATTTCACGACCAGTGGATCACTGCCCGCAAATACATGGCCAGGGATTAAACTTACCCATCATACGGATACAAAGTAACTGGTCGAGCCGGGCTGGGAAATCTGGGCCTCCAGCGGAAGTTGGTGCCAGTGCTGACCCCGCCTCCACGAAATCGGTTCCTTGCTTTTCACTGTAGGTACGTAAGCGGCAATGCTGAAATTGTGTTCAAGGTCCTCAGCAAACAACACGTGCACTCCTAGATGCATGAATTACGAAAAGCCGACGACTGTTGTGAGGATAACAAAGCATCCTCGTACACTAACGAGATGCCAGTCATGAGGGCTTCAATCGCAACGTGTCGAAGCTGTAGGGCTTTAGGCTCTTAAGAAATTACATGGGTCAATTCCAAGGTCTGGGAGCGGCTGGTGGGACGGACATTGAGATTTGTTGCCATAGCAATGCAATCCTTGCAAAAGATCACGTGACTTGGCATGTCCATCTCCCCGCTGTGGTCAAGATGTGCTTAATTCTATTATGCGTCGTGCATTATGACGGTGCGTATACACGCTTCTATATGTGGGTCTTCAGGAGTCCCAGGACATCATTGCTGGCAAACCTACAACGGATCTCGTGTTCAGGCCAGGTCGTATCTCAACGGGGCAGTACATGCGTTCCGGCCTTTTCCAATTGTGCTTCCAATGTTTGCTCCTTGAGCTTCATCACCTGACAGCGGTATGATGCCAAGAAGCGGGAAGGGAGTACACAGGCCCACCGCCTGCCGGGAATGGCCAATACTGTGCGTCTTCACACCGCCGTCACCACTCACCACCTTCTGATTTAAGATATAGACCCACATGAAGCCCTGACTGCACAGGACCACCGCCTTCCTGATATCATATTTTCCAGGGGACGATTTCACCGCCTACTTCACCGCCTGCCTAAGAGGTCATAGACTCGAGTCGCAGACTCGTGCATGCGAAGCACCAGCTTCACCGCCCAGTGCTTTGCCTTGCGCTTGTTCACCGGCTACTGATCAGGCGGAACCCGTCTGAGACTCTTTCCTAAACTTTTAAGCGAAGAGCCTTGATTGTCTAAGCAGCCTATGTTTACCCTCACGACAAACCTTATCCAGCCCCTAACCTGGTTAGACGTGCTGATCTATTCACCGCCTACTCGAAATAGAGCATCGTCTCAGTCTGACCGCTTAAACCTGCTAGTAATCCCTCAATAATTCGCAACATTGTAATTGTTCCTCTCCTGCCCGCTGCCATTGCACTGCAACCCACCTTACACTACGCGTTTTGTAAACCCCCCATGCAACTCTTTAGGAGCGCCATGCCGATAGGTTCTGTGCTCTTTGCGCAATGTTTTCGGACAGAAGATGCACTCAGCTGCGGAGGCGCTGCTGTTTCGCAACACATTTGATTAGTTTAACTTATCAGGTAGGTTGATCTTGTCTAATTCGCACTTCAACTTATGTACAGCAGTCGGGCGCAGCCTGCTATGGTTGCAGCCGAAGTGTAACCCTCTGCTAAGTATCTACGGGGCACACAGACGATTGATTGAGCTGGGGCACTCCGACTTGCAAGCTGAAAGTCCTGGCCTAATGCAACGTGGCTGCGTGTGTGAGGCCATCTATTCCCCCGCGCCCGGTTCTTCCAGTCAGTGTGAATTTGACGTGGCTGGGTGAGGTCGACCGTCCACTATCTCTTGGCATATCGTGACGACTTGTCTGTGGGTGTCGACGCCTCTACTACCCCGCATATGGCCGACATCAGTCGAGCCGTCTGCTGCCAGCCTGTCAAGCTCGACGGTGCGTGATCAGGACTTGCTTCGATCCTCTCGTTGATTATCTTCCACGAAATATTCTTAGATGGCAGCCGAGGCTTGCAAATCGTCTCGGGAGCCGTAATGTCGGGTTCTAGTTTTGCTCCGTGGTCCATTCCGTGGTCGGTCTGGTGTACACCACGCCGCACCATCATCCTGGCCATCTTATCAGATGAAAAAGATAAGTCGATCGTCGTCTTTGCCGCGTTCATGTGCCACGTTTTCATCCCTCTCGAGGCCCTCTTGAGGGGATGCTGCACAGTGGGTACTCCCTCATCAGGTCGACTATCTCCGACCCTCCGATATATCATCATCTCATAGATCGTGGTGATTGAAGTCTCCTACCGTCTGGCTCGAGGTTCACCGCGTCGGAACGTGCGTAGAGTCGCCACGCGGTGGGCCGTGCTAGTGCCGTAGCGTATTTTGAAACGCCTCAACGGCGCTCAACTCAACGTCGAAGAATTTTGCAAACAACGTAACCTTCGTTCGCTCCTGATCTTGTATTATTCTTCGATCTGTAGTACATGTGACTGGGTACATTGACCCATCATTTTGAAGTCAAACAGGGTGGTTTGCTGAGGCAATCCGACCAGATCAAGCAGAGAAAAATTGCGAAAGGCTACGGAAGGCAGGATTTTGAAGTGAATCGGACTCCAAAATTGTCCTATTAGTAGCGTCTTAGTGCTCAAGAGAGCTAGTCGCCCTGGCACTGCGCTGGTTGCGGAGAACAACTGTCCCGCTGTTTTACGAAATGGCTTGTGCACTCATCACATTCGTAGATCGGCGGCGATGTGTGGACAATGTCTTAAGTACTCATTGTATTGGAAATCTAGATATATGGAGTCAATGAAGATAGCTAGTCGCTTGAAGTATCCGCAGGCGAGACATCACACTGTGGGAAGTACGCATTTGCACGATGTCAGGTTCGTGTCAGCTTCGCTCCATACAGCATCATCTTCCCGGAAACTGCTTCGTGAGGCTCGAGACGCAAGACAAGCAGACGAGCATGAAACGGCTGTAGAGGCATGCTCCGCGTCCCGTAACTCGTCATCTAGCTGGTGCGACATCTGCACGTTCGGTATCTGGAAGAATAGCACCTGCTATCAATGCACCAGTTGCTCTGGCGGAAACTTCTGTATTTGTCGGGATTGTTATGATTTGGGTGGGCATTGTCTGAACATTTCACACGATTTAGTTGTGAGTGATCCGTGAGGAGAGACTGAAATTTGTAACGCCGGCAGGTACCTTTCGTTTTTCCGTACCGTCTGGTGCAACTGAGGTAATCCGTCTGTATCTCAATCTCAACCTACATACCGAAACACTGTAGTAGGTAATCCTCAAACACGTCTTGCGAAATGGTTCCAGCTAGTTGTCGCTCATTCTGTTCGTCGAACTGGGAGACTGGCTGATCAGTTGCCCGCCGTTGATTGCATTGCCCTCATAGCCATGGCGGCGATCATGGGCTGGGATCTCTCGGAGTACAAAGAAGGGTTTTGGATGACAGAACATGTGCCGAGACAACTTTTATGGTGCCGCGATGGCCACCATGATAATAGTGGTACAACCAGCAGCCCTCCAGAAACGACGCTAACACCGTCATGTTCGTGGGCTAAGGTACGACCACCAGTCGCGAGCTCGACTGGAATGGCTTTGTCGAAGGGAGGCATTTGGTTGTGAAGGGACACGTCTTGGACGCTCTCTGGGATGGCCGGGCAATGGTCCTAGCCACCTCTCGTGACGAGGGAGACAGAGCACGTTGCGCGGCCTTGAGACCGGCTACCAGAAGCAGAAGTCGGTTGCCCTCTAGGATACACCAGACAGATACTAAACGTCATCAAGAGCAACGATCTTCTCATTGCCAATAGAAGTGATCTGGGACGAGCCCTCACAGCCAAAGCGGCAAAGGGTCAGGTGGCTGAAAATCCGATTGAGTGTTGACCTCCGCCGATCCCATGGGATCGTCCTCACATGTGACGATAGTAACAAATCGAGAAGACTGGGTTACTTCAAGTTTCTGCACGAGGGGGTGATTGGAGTTGGCTTCACCAGGAAAGAAGCAGAGAAATTTCTCTCACTTAAAAACCCATTAGTAGATAGAGTTCAAGCCCAGACAGAAGATGCGAGCCTTTAGACGCAATGCACCATTGGACTATTGTTTGTGGTGGCTTCGGTTCTTTCCATCCCTCAATGATTTTGTGGTACTGGTCTTTTTGAGTTTGGCGGACGGTCTCCAGTGGGGTCGGTCTGAGGAAGAGGCGGTAGCTCATGGGGGTCAAGGCTTCGCCATGACTCGCGATACCCTTGACACCATCCTGGCACGCGATCCCGTGAAAGTCGAGCGTCATTTTGCATACATACTTGTCAATTCAGGTCTATCACCGTCCGCAACCTTGGACAAATACTTATTTCGGAAATGTTTGGTCAAGTCATTAGATGCGTAGAATTCGTGGGTGAGTTCGTCCAATCGACCCGTTCAATCCGGAGTTGAATGACTTCTTTGTGGTGCTTAGCGTCGTCTCGATCCGCTGCTTGAGATCGTTGATCGTCATACAACGATTAGCTCGCCGCTGCTCGATCGAACGGTGTTTCTTCCCTAAATCTCGCAGAACCCGGACCAGTCAGCAGGAGCACTGGTGTCGCTGTGAAAGAAACCTGCTCTGTGCATGCTGCGGTTTAGCTTCTGGTTGATTTTTTAACCTACGGCTCTCTCGAAGACGAGTCGAAAGACCTTCCAATATGTGCCCAAAGAGCTCTTCTTCTTAATTCCGCGTTTCTTTTGCGAGCACATACTGTCGCCACTGCTCCTCCACGGCATCGAGAAGCACCGTCGTCCCAGGGCTGTAATCCTGGCAGGCGAAGCGGTCCTCGTTGAACGCCTCCACCTTGCGTCGCCAATACTCAGTTGACTGAATATTGCCATCAAAGAGCCTGATTTGGTCTTCGACATCCAAATCACCATCGCAGAGATCGTCGATATCGGTTGCGTCGGTACCCGAGCCACCTTTCTGATCCATCGTATCGAAGACGTCGTCGTAGTGATCGCTTTCAACTTCGGCAGTGAATAATGCATCGGAATCGTAAGTGTGCACGTTCGTACGTCGGCGCTTCGGCATGTTGGGAAAATCAAGCGGCAGTCGGGAGAGAATGATCGAACAAGTCGTGATGTTCTGGCTTTGAGAGCGGATGGATCGAGGAATCGGCTCACTAGGCAGTGCAGCGCCTGTGGATTATGTAGTGCAAGAAGGTGAGCCATGGCAGAGCCTATTCTGGCGGCAACACTTGGCTGTTGGAAACCGATACGCAAGGAATGACTGGGAAATCAAGACTCGAGAAACTGGCCGTAGCCGCGTGATCTGTTCAGGACGGTAGTATGGCTGAGATACCATGGCAGGTACATACACTGGGGTAATTACATGTCTGGAACAGGAAATGGTGACGGTTGCTTGGTAGGCGTGGTGCCTGGGTTTAAAGCGGCGACTAGTTCGTGGCAGATGGCCCGCTGGATCTGGCGGCAGAAGCTGCAAAACGGCTGCAAACTAGCCGTCTCTAGGTCTAATTTAAGGCTGGGCGGACGTCCTGGCAGAGCCTGAGCTAATAGCGAAGGTTGCGACCGAGTCTTAGCCACAAGCTCATGCAGATCCCATACCAGGGCCCGAGCCCGAATCTCAACCAGCAGCGAAGATAGAAGACAACTAGAGCTATATGTTGTCTAAAAAGACCAACAAGAAGACCCAGAAAGGAAGTTATGTTGAAAACCAGGAGGATATTCGCTTCTAGCAGGAAACGCATCTTGCAGTTGGTGAGTGGGAGGATTGTTCCATCTGTCGACAATACACGTTAGCAACTTCGTGTCATCCTACCATCAGTCGAAAAGAAATAAGTCATCAAGGATATAGGGCAGCGGTTTTCACAGGACAGACCAAAGAACCAGCTTCTTTCCTTGCCACCGCGAACTTTTCTAGGGTGATGATTGGGAAGTGTAACGCTATCTGACATATTATCTAAAGACCTACGATAGATCTCTCCTTACATGTCCAGGTCATTTCCATCCTCTCAATCCATCGAACTATTTACATGCATGTGTCGCACCTCACTAAGCCCTTTTATCTCTTCATCTTCAGCTTAGTAGAGAAGTGGACTTGTAGCGTCCCGCGAGACCGGCCCGGAAAGGACCTCG